TCAAAAGCTACCCTTTGAAAATTATAAACATTCACCTGGAAATTAACAGACTTTTCAAAGATTATCAGTTTTCATCACAGTGTTTTCACTGGGTGCTTGGCTTAAGTGGAAAAGTTGAAAAATATCTTTGAAATGTGCATTAAAAAAATACTGTTATACCCACTGAAAGAAATCAGTGGGGAAACATCCACATTATTTTCTAATTAATTGTAAAAACTGGTATCATTCCACTAACCCCAGAGGTCCCAGGTGAGTCAGGCCAGCTCTCCATCTCATAACATCCAAAATATCCTCAATTCGAGCCACTGCCTGCAGGGCTTTTGCCTTTGGAATGGATTTGTCAGCTGCTCTACACGCTGAGCAGGGCTGAGAGCTGAGACAGCCCCGCTCACGACCTCAGCCTTGCTGAAACCATGGAGAAAATTAACGAGCTGCTTCATAATCTTTTTCCCACCCTCACGCAATGGGTGATGACCATTTCACTTGCTGGGAAGTGACAAAACCAGGAAAAAAAAAATGGCCCCACAGCAAACAGGAAAGAATTGTATGAGCCTGTAAATTTTAGTGTGGATAAGGGAAAATGAGGAGAAAAGACAATTATTGGTCCACAATTACAAACAGCTTGAGGTTTGCCTTCTAAACTCTCCTGTAAGACTGAAACAAGGCAATAAATCATCAGGTGATGCATTTAGAAGCAATCAACATAAATAATCCTTTATGAGGGCAGGGAATCAACCCTAAAAATTCACTGCTATGGTAATCAGGAGAAAGAGATGCTGAGAGCCAGAGCAAGCCTGGGATGTTTTAACGCTGGGATGAGGGATGGTATCAGGCAAGTGTCCTTGCAGCCTGGGCTCTCACCCACGCAGCGGCTGAGCTGCTGAAACATCAGGGAAGACCTTGGATGAGGTTCCCACAGAACTTCATCAAAACCAAACCTTCCCTGCAAAAAACAGCCTGAGACCAGAAAATATTTCAGCGGGTGTCTCCCAAGGTCCCTGGGAGCTGCCAAGCTCCTTCAGCAGCAGGACGTGTGTGTGCACTGCTGGGGTGCTGCTGGCCCTGCAGAGCCAAGACCCTCCTGCTTCATCCTCAGATGGCAGAAGGTCATGGATATAATTTTCTAAAAATATCTCCTTATTCCTAATTGCATTTTACAGCGATGTGGCGGTTGCAGTTCCGATGTGCTGCTCATGGGCTGAGCATCCTCAACCAAGCCTGGTGCTTCCTACCAGTCCCAGACCTCTTCTCACCCCAGGGACCAGTATACCCCGGCACCAGCAAAACTCATCTCATCTCCTCCTGGCTGTGGGAGCAACACCAGCAACAGGCAGACACCTTCGGGTGATTTATACCAGTGCAGTAACGGGCTTGTAGCCATCCAGGTATCCTTCTATTGCTGCGATGGGTTTCACAGACCTTGGATGTTTCTCCTGGGATTTTAATTACTCCTGCTTTATGGGACTCACATAGGCTTTAAAGACAGACAAAGTACTGAAAGGAAATTACTGACTTAACATTTACCAAATGGGGATCAGGCAGACTGGCTTCAACACATGCCCTACAGCATCTTTTTTTTTATTATTTAACAAGTCCCTTTTCATAAAGGGCCCCTTTAACAGCTGTCTCTGCCCCTGCAGTGTCCCCCATTTCAATGGCTTTCTGAGCAGCCCCAGCTGTGCCCTGGGAAGAGGCAAACTGGGGTGCTTTTATTTTCTATCACCCAGCAGAGTTAAAGTCACAGAATCACAGAAT